ATGATGCTGCTTGGCCTGCTGTGTTCATCCAGCCCTGCACCTTGTTGTCTCGGATTCTCCAGCATCTGCAGTTCCTACTATCACATGTAGGTCAGATTGGATTATTATGGGAGATTTATTTCCCTAAAACTCATTGGTGAACCAGGTGGCTTTTCATTGTAACTGATAATGGCTTTAGTCACAGAATCATGGAGGTTTTCCAGCACTTGGCCCATCCCCTTGTTTGCTATGGTCTTTCAATTGTTCACTAAATATTTTTAAATAGAGCGATAGAGATGTACAGCATGGAAACGGATCCTTCAGTCCAACTCGTCCATGCCGACCAGATATCCTAAATTAATCCCATTTGCCAGCATCTGGCCCATATTCCTCTAAACCCTTCCAATTCATGTACATATCCAGATGCCTTTTAAATGTTGTAATTGGACTAGTGTCCACCATTTCTCTGGCAGCACATTCCATAAACACACCACCCTCTGGTGAAAAAGATGCCCATTAGGTCCCTTTTGTATCTTACTCATCTCACCTTAAAAATGTTTTTAGAGTTCCTGCCTCCACTGCCCTTTTAAGTAGCGAGTTCCAGATACCCACCACCCTCAGGGTGACAAAATATTTCTTCCATTCCTCATTAAACCTTCTGTTCCTTACCTTAAACCTGAGCCCCTGGTTATTGACCTCTCTACTAAGGGGAATATTTTCTCCCTACCTACCCTGTCATTGCAGCCTCAAACGTCATACATCTCAATCAGATCCCTCTCAGCCTTCTCTGCACTAAAGAAAACAACCCCAGTCTATCTAATGTCTCCTCACAACTGAATCACTCCATCCGGGCAAGATCCTGATGTATCTCCTCTGCACATTCTCTAGTGCAATCACATCCTTCCTGTAGTGTGGTGACCAGACTGCACATAGTACTCCAGCTCTGACTTAACCAACATTACTTACAACTTCGTAATAACCTTCTTGCTCTTGTTTTCAAAGCCGTTATCCAGATGCCTTCTTAACCACTTTCCCTATCTGTCCAGCTGCCTTCAAGGATATATGGACATGGACACCAAAGTCCCTCTGATCCTCTGTACCTCTACCATTCAATGTGTACCTCATGTTCTTCAGGATTAAATTCTATTTGGCACTGCTCAGCCCAACTAACCAGCCCATCTATATTGTTCTGTAGTCTAAGGTTTTCGTTCTTGCTATTTAACACACCACCAATTTTCAGGTCCTCTGGGGAACTTACTGATTATGCCTCTACATTCCTATCTTGATCGCTAATATACACAACAAACAGCAAAGGACCTAGCACCAAACCCTGTGGTTGCTACTGGACACAGATTCCAGTCATAAAAATATCATTTGACCATCACTGTCTGCTCTGTGCCACGAAACCGTTTTTGGATCCAATTTGCCAATATGCCCTTGATCCCATAGGCTCTTAGCTCCTTAGCTAGTCTGCCCATGCAAGACCCTTGTCAAAACCCTTACAGAAGTCCATGTGGATTAGATCAACTGCACTATCCTCATCGACATATCTAATTACCTCCTCGAAAAATTCTATCAAATTTGTTAAACATAGTCTCATCCTTACAAAGCCATGCCAACTATCCTTGCCTTTCCAAAATCTGTCACTCAGATTTTGTTTTCCAATAGTTTCTCCACCATTGATGGAAGGTTCACTGGCCTGCTGTTTCCTGGACTATCTCTATCACCCTTCTTGAATAATAGTACCACATTAGCTGTTCTCTAATCCTTTGGTGCCTCTCCTGTGGCCTGAGAGAATTCAATAATTAGTGTCAGAGCCCCTGCCATCTCTTTGCTTCCCTTCCACAATAGCCTGGGACACATCTCAACT